TCTGATGGTGTTGCAGTCTGTGCCACTGTCACACTTGAAATTGTGCGTGTTAGTACATCTGTCAATAACCTAAGCAGGGGACGCTACTTGCTGCAGATACGCGCCGTGATCTGCGCTACTCCCAGTTCCGAGATGGTCAGTGCTTGAATCCAACTGCGATGCCAGTAACAAAGTCAAGTTGCTGCTGTTGTACTGAATGACGTTTAATGGGGATGGTATGTGTTGTTCAGTTTATGTATTTCTCTGAATTTTATTAGAAATTTTACTCAGTTCTGAATACATAATAAGGTCTGTCTGTCTGTCCACACGATTCATCTCCCAACATACTCACTGAATTTTAACAACATGTAATATGGGAGATCTGTATTTTGGGAAGGATATTTTGTAGTTGGACATATGAAAAGGGGATACAAAAAATAGATTTCAATGTAAGTTTTTACACATATGTACCTTTAACTCCTGTATTATGGATATAACGTAAAATGAAGAAACATCAGATCACAGAAATCCATGATATGAGGCTTGGTAAAGAAGAGGTTTGTAAGCAATAAAAATTGTATAGGCATAACTTTTTCATTGCAGTTTAATCAAGTGTTTGGGAGGATAATGTCAGGCGGGATCTATGGGAGATAGGAGTTGAAGGAGACTGGATTTCGTTGGCCCAGGACAGAGTCCGGTGGAGGGCTTTGGTTGGTTCGGTGATGAACCTTCGAGTTCCGTAAGCCATCTGGTTGGTTGGGTCCACTATTTGGGAAGCCTGAGGGGAAGAGAGAGCTGGGGAGACCTAGACGTAGATGGGAGGACAATCTGAGGCGGGATCTATGGGAGATAGGAGCTGAAGGAGACTGGATTTTGTTGGCCCAGGACAGGGCTTTGGTTAATTCGTTGATGAACCTTTGGGTTCCTAAGCCATATAGTTAATTAGTTAGTTATGAGTCTCTGTGAAACTGGTAACAAATTCCATTTTATGGGTCAGGGCCCAAAATGTTAATGTTGTACTGAAACAAAGTGGCAAACAATATAAAGTATAGATCACTAAATGCTACAAAAAGGTAATCTGCACTAATTTCAGCAGCGTAGAAGAGTGATAGTGTCATAATGCTTGAAAACCAGTGAAATTATTGTATTTGAATTACATCTGATTTATCCTTTTTTAAATTGCTAGATGTCAATGAGTGTGCACAAACTCCCGATATATGCCAAAATGTAGCATGTGAGAACTTGATGGGAACATACCGGTGCATTTGCAACCCAGGGTATCAGGTTTGATAATACAGGGAAAATTTGTTCTGATATCAATGAATGTGAGTTGGATGACTTGGTCTGTAGTGGAGGGCAGTGTAGGAACACTCGAGGCAGCTTTCAAGTAAGTCACTGGTATGTCTAAGGGTGTGAATTGGGTGTCATAAATCTGTCTTTCCTGAAATGGATTTTGTTGTTGTTATCAGTGTGTGATTTTTAAGCCATGTGTCTTAAGTGTAGATTCACATGAATACTGTTTCTACCAGCCTAAATTCTAATTTTGTAATTTTGCTTGTGCAGTGTATCTGCCCCACGGGCACTCGGCTCAACCCTGTCACACAAGTATGTGAAGATATTAATGAATGCAGAGAGCTAGGTCCTGATGCTTGCTTTAATGGAGCCTGCGTGAACAGTGTCGGTTCATACGAGCGCGAATGTGAACCAGGATTCATTTTGGACAACAGTTTAATAGGTGTCACCTGTTTCAATCTTTCTACAGTGTTATGTTATGAGACGGCGTAGCTCAGTCAGTACCTCCCAAATACAAAGCAGGAATCTCAGTCATTCAGACAGCTTAAGTTTCCCTCGAACACATATTTTTAGAGAGAGAAAGTGTTTATGGTAAAACAAACATATGAATTCAGAATCAAAATCTTGTCTTGAATTATGGAATTGTAAGTCGTTTATTATCTGCAGTGGATATAAATAGAAATTGCAGTTTTATTTAATCATGATCTTTTGTCTTCATTGAATTTTTGGTCCATTTATGAGGAATACACACTGATTATTTTCTCAGATATTTTATAACTTTTCTTTCCTTATATCCCAGATTCTATTGGATGTACAATTTCTGTGCAGATGATAGGAAGGGGTCGTGCTGGACCAGGTTAGTGGGTGGTCACTGTGAGAATAATCTACGTCACCTTACATTAAAAATCTGAATGCTGCTGTTCAATTGGACTGGCATGGGGCAGTCCGTGTGAGATATGTCATGGCCTGTGTGACTGCAAAGGTAAATACAATGAGGGAGATCCTGTCTGTCTATTCATTTATTTACATGTCTGCTGAAGGGATTTTGGCTTGACCATAGGAGAAGAGTGTGAGGATCAGGTGAGGGCAAGGGAGTCAAAGGGCAGACTACAGCCCAGAAGGAGTAGAGGAGAGACAGGTGGTGGCCTTGTTAGACTGTGGTCTAGCCAGTGTTCTACACTGTCTGACTGGTTGTTATATCTGGAGCCATTTTATTATGTGTGGCTTACTCCATTTCCCTGATGATGGAGGCAGTAAGCACTTCTGAGACGTTGGTAGACTTCTACGAAACTATACAGTGCAACGATGGGAAGGCAACCATCATGAGAACTGGGAAACTGAAAGTACTTATTTGTATATCGAGGGAAAGTAATAATTATGAACATATCTGGGACAATTTAGTAAACTTCCGCTAGTCCACTTATGGCATGAATAATATACATTTTTTTTGCCAGAAATTGTGAAGTCACAATAAAACTTAGTGTCCTTTCTCATTGCATAAATTTATTACTTTTAGTTTCAGATTTTCCATCATTATAATCATGAATAGAAGAGATTAAAATGGTAGACACTGCACAATTATGAATTCACTGTCATAGATCTTACCAAATATACCTTAATGAGGAATCTGAATTAGTGATTGTTAATAAACCATGCAATTCTGTTATTAATTAAAAATACTTGTCTTTCCCAAAGCTATTCATGTTTTCTTTCTTGTATAGGTAGATGGTAAAACATGTACAGATGTAAATGAATGTGACCTGAATGTCGGAGTGTGTCGAGGAGGAGGAACGACGTGTGTCAACACAGATGGTTCTTTCACGTGCACCTGTCCACCTGGATTGACACTGGATCCTACTGGTATGTTAGTTTTCCTTAAACACTGAATATAGAATGAGAGGCACCTCAGACCTCTTCATATAAATAATATAAAATACTTTAGATCAATGGCCTGTCTGGCAACTAAGATTTGTGTGATTTGGATTGAATATTACATTACAATTTGCAATCAGCTTTGCCTTCACCGACGTATATCTGTATTTCACTGAAATGTGTAGAATTTATGTATGTCCACATGTACAGTATATCTGGATGTTAGGCAGGAGGCGTGTTATACTGAGTACCGACACGGGCAGTGCAGTAATCCTCTAGAAGGAATTTTCTCACGCATCCTATGCTGTTGCTCTTCTGTGGGCAAAGCTTGGGGTGGAGGGGACACTGGAACCAGCAGATGTGAACCTTGCCCACGGTCAGGAACTCAGGCTCATCAGGAACTGTGCCCCAAAGGGAATGGCTTCATCGATCGCAAGGATATTAACGAATGTACGGAGTTCCCAGGAATGGTCGCTGTAAGAATACGGTTGGAGGTTTCAGCTGCAAGTGCAACCAGGGCTATG